TCAGCTCTAGACCAGCACAGTACACCGGTATAAGATTTCCGTACAAGATTTCCTTACGATATGAATTTCTCACATACAGTTCATACCGGTGTTACACTGACGTTGCTCCTCGCCAGGCGGCAGATTTCATTTTTGAACGTCATCGAGGAGGTGCCCAGCGGTTGGAGCTACTTGTCTTACGTGTGTTGAGATTGAGTCATGGTTATAACTTTATAACAAAAATGAATAACTCACAACAGACCCTCTTTAACAGGGTAAAACACCACAACACAACAGCTATTGCAAAGTCTGTCGAGCCTTAGGAGGCAACACTAGCAACCACAACAAGCTAACACGCTGACTAGCTAACAAACTAACACGCTAACTTGCCGGCCAGTTGCAAGCAAGTTGGTCAGCTGTTTGTGTAGCCGCAGTGCTTTTCGGGGTAGATGAATTATTGTGTTTACTTGAAAAAACAATACCGTGATATATCGGGATACCACCAGAAGCTGTCATAATGCCATGATAGGGATTTTTGGCCATACCATGCAGCCCTAAGCTCTACCCTTTGATAAATCACCCTGGCTTCATAGGTCAACCTTAGCTGAACAGCTGGATCAGACGTCCTGGGGTAAACACTCAGCAATTACAACTAGATTCTGAAAAATCATCCAAATCACGCGCTGCAGATAACTGGCATCAGAAGATGAAACGCACCCTCCAGACAGGAGACGGCTTTATGTCCAGCTGACTATCAGCAGAGTATAAATACCATGCATGATGAGCTACTAACAAAGTAGGATTTAAGAGTGAGCTCTCATCGTCTCCCTCTTGCTTACACGTCCAGCTCCGTTTTCACTGTGCTCCACACGTGGTAGGGCAATTAATAAATCATCTTCTCAGAGGCTAATTCCAATCATAACATGTTAGATGTCAGCAGCTCTTCTCATGAGGCAACTGGTTTTTTACAAGAGAAGATATACTAACAACAGTGTCCACAAATGTAATTCCCATGACCTTTGGTCTTTTAGTCCTGGCCCACAATCGTTCTTAATTCATGCCATATACCTTTTTAGGTTTCATATCAAAATGTGTAAAAAGCAGCATCACAATAACTGCTCTAAAAGGATGAGAAACCAACGGTATGGTTACCCTGACCCGCTTCTCTTCTGTAGAACGCTGTCCAGTTAGAAATACATTTTGGTTTGGCAGGTGAAGCGAAGCTGACCCCATCGTACACTGTATAAAAGAAGACTAGTCGCCGTGACGAGTTGTGGATTGACGTTTTTAAGCCTTGAGTGGAGCCATTGCCAACTTGTCCTTTTTATAACATTAACTCATGTTTACTGAGATAATAAATCAAGCGAAAAGTAGAGTCATGGTCTCAGAAACTTCTATAGAACGGAAGAGTTGCTCCTTGATGGACATTAAGGACAATTCAAACCGTGGGAAATCTTCAGAACAGGAGGTTCTGGTATGGTGTAAGGCTGAGGGTCATGGGTAATATAGCTCTATATGGTCCAAAACTCATTAAAAAAACGAGCTCCCGTTCTTCACGTGACTGAAACACAGCAAAGGGAAATCAAACATGAATCAAAACAAAGGTATGTCACAATTTTGGATTTGCCTCTGCAAAAAAGCTCCCACATTATTCTACATTACACATCCGATACCCAAGGGAAGGCTAAATATCTGCATATCTAGTTTCTGTGTATCCAGTATCCATAGCAACATTGCCAGCCAATCCAAGGAAATATGAAAAACTATCATTCCGGTTATTACCTTCCAATTAATCACAGAGACAATGTATTATTGAGAGGAAAGGAAAAATCAATTTATGAATCTAAAATAAAAGGTGTATCACCAACAATCTCAGAGCATTTTTTATTCGTGGCCCGAGATATAAGGTCATCGTGGCTTATTGAGAAATATTATCATGTAAAATGGATACGGTGGCCGTAGGATGGAGGAAACCTGCTGTGCTGCTAGCACTGAGCTGCAGTCGATCAAGCTGCTGGGAGGCGTTTCACCATGATTGAAGCCACAAGGGCTAAATGCCTCTGCCCTTTCCTTATTCTGATTGCTCACGGAAACAATTTGTAACTTTTCATTACATCTCCTCCTGTAACACCACAGCCATTTCCAGGGAAGATGCTATTCATTTACTTGTGAGATCCATTCCAACGCAGTGCTGGAGTGTTGGGGCACCAAGGGTTGGATTACAACAAAATGCAGTACCAGCCCCTAGTTACCAACGTCTTGTTTTCACTTCCAAAGAGAAATATTTGGATAAGAAAGAGCATGAGTCTGACTAAGTGTATGTTTTGAACCAACTAATGCAGTCCAACAATGAGATGCCATACACAAATAGGTCGCTAAACACTCAGAGCGGCACATTTTCAGCCCACATGTGGTGACCACTTAACAATTCCCCAACCGACACACTGTGTGATATGCGTGCGTCGTCGGATAATTCTAAAATACAGCTTATGGACTTGTGATTTACAAACACCTGTGTGGGAGACAGAATGACGCAAATGCATAAAGCATGACGAAGAAAAGAAAAAACTCGAAAGAGTAACAGACAGCTACCCAGAAAGTAAAACAAGAACTCAGACATCAAGAAACAGAGTTTCCACGATACCATCCTGCAACAAATACAAACACTATAACAGCATGAACCTAAAACATCTAGAAATATGTGCCATGTTGGATCGTGAGTGCTTTGTCGACGAGCCGCGGATGAACAGCAAGAGGACGCGTGTGCATTTAAGAGAAAAACAGACAGCTGTCGAATATGACTGCTATGAAAACACTTAAAGTATCCGGAATAATAAAACCGGGTATGGTTGTAGCTGTGATTACAGTGTGAATATTAGTTACTGATGGGCAGGTGACAGTGTGTATGGTAGCTCCTGTCATCTGTGTATGAACGGATGAAAATGGGTGAATGAGCGCTTTGAGCGGTCGGAAGACTAGAAAAGTGCTATGCAAGTACAGTTTATTTAGCATTTACCATTTGTATGGCCATGGTTTTAATACGTGCTCAGGCCTTGCCATACTTTCCTAGTATCAGCATACCCTGCAGCCCTAACAGACAGCTGCTGGGTCGGAGGCCGTGCACATGGATGGCTGGTGTACTCTATTCAGAGTGTTGCTGACGAGCTGCAGCCTGATTCAGCTCGGTGTGCAGCATTGAAGCCAAGGTGACTGTTTACTGACAACCCCTAATGAGAGAATACACTCTTGATATGTGAGTAAGCAAAGATGCTGCGGTTTGGAAAAGCCATTAGTGCAGAATTCATTTTGAATAAAACAAGGAACAGAGGGGAAAACGGGAGGAAGGCGGAGTGACCTTTCAGCTGTGAGCTTTTAAAGCGAGCAAGGAAACAGCCCTAATGGCCTTTTTTTAGAGCCTGAAATGTCAAAGGAGCATTTTTCCAATCGAAACACTTGACATCGGGGGGGACGTCATGGACATACAATGTTATTTACGGCCACAAGATGACTTCACCTAAAACAGGGATTCATCATCCTGTTGGGAACACATTTCCCAGGGACTTAAAAAAGGGAAAAAAAGACAAACAACCTCGTGCTTATTTCCCCTGACTCTTTGCTGCGCTGGTTTGGCAGAGAATGTTTCACCCGTTAAAGTGTTTAGAGGACTTGGAGCCTAAACACTGTGAGAGTCAAACAGTAGAGGCTGGGAAGTCTTCTTACGTATTTATTTATCCGTTCTTTAAAACTTTGTAACAAATTAAGTTACATGAAGCCAGCCAAAACACCCTGTCGGATCGCATTGATTAGATATGTATAGGGGAACACAAGTTGGGCGATTAGGTCTGTAAATGCACCACGTGCGTGTTATAAGAAAACCATCTTCTGCAGTCAGTACGACTGTGACATGTCATGCACACCTCCTAACATAGTGACTGCTCCAGCCTGCCCCCAGGACGGAGTGGTACTTTGTGTGTTTGTGTTTCAGATGCTTTTTTGTGATCACCATGCGGCATCCCTACTCTGTCCACTCAAACTCATCCCATTAAAAGGGATTCTGCATTGCATTAGTTCAGTTAATGAAATGACCCTTTCTTAAGTCCCGCCCCTTGATTGCAGAACGGCGATTTAGTGACCGTGGGGTCTCCATAGTAATGTAGATCCGGCAGCTTGGGGGCAGGGCTTAGCAAAGGGTAATTTGTGAAACTCCTCACCTACTGGTCCTACCACCAAAGCTGTCACTCATTGAAAGATCTGTTCTTTGTAATAAGTCATTCAGCATGAAAAAAAGCATAAAACCTATGTGGAATAAGGCCAAAAGGACTAATTAGTCAACTAATCGACAAGGTGCCTCCCTTCCTACCACCATCCTCACTGACTAAAAGCTTATACTGCTGGCTTTCACAGTTTGCTCCTCAGACTAATGCAAGCAGTCACATTGACGACAAGGTCCGAAACGTCATCTCATCTGTCCTCCTCTCCCTCTTTGGCCATCTCCATCCAAAGGGTTCAGAGTTTCCAACAGACTCTGGAAAGGACCTGACCGCAGCAATGCTGCATGAGTGTGTGAGAGTGTGTGGCACACACAAGTATGTACATATTCAGTTAAAAAAGGGCTCTAAGTACTCTTTTTTTACTCTGTGTGTGTGCGTCCACTGAAGGTGTTTGCTCTAAACGGTGGGTCCCAGAAAAGCGGAAAACTGGCATTGAGGAAGCCTCAACACGGCCAAGCCACTCATCTATTTGGGGCATCCGAGCCCACAGTAAGACTACCAGAGGAGGGAAAAAGAGGAGGGGACGCCGGGACGCCAGGATATGTGGTGTCCTCTGAGAAAACGGGTTCATTCAGGTGTCAGAGAGCGGCAGGGTTATGTAACACAATAACGTAGTTCCAACGCACAGAAACACTGGGCACATGCAGTAAAAATGGTGTTACTCCGCTACTGAAAGACTGGGAAGTAACTGTTGCACCAACCCTCTCCCTTGATGTGTGCACAGCTCTCAATGTCCTAGTAAGAACCTACCTGTGACGGTCTTGGTTTTGGCTGGGCTGCTGGCATAGTCCGATGCCTGATTGGACGGCTGTTTGGCCAGTGGTGGGCTTCCTACCGACGTCTCATCCTCTCTTCTTTTGGCACCAGGCACTGAACCTGGAGTCTGTAATGACATCACACCACGACTGAGCACAATTCATAGTGAAGGAGATGTCCTGTCTTATTGGAACACAATTTAATTTAATATGTGTCAATCTGTTTGAAAAAGAAGAAGTTCAGGTATCAGAAAGCTAATTATTCAGACATTGTCCTTCCACTGATGTTCTGCGTTGGTAAGACAGACATTACTTTGGAGAACATTAAAGACATGGGTATAACTGGAGACAGAATGCATAATGCAATGAAAGATGGAAAAGAGGCAGAGGCAGAGAGAGAGAGAGAGAGAGAGAGAGAGAGAGAGAGAGAGAGAGAGAGAGAGAGAGAGAGAGAGAGAGAGAGAGAGAGAGAGAGAGATATGCGGTGGAACACAACAGAGGCCTCCAAGACCAACAGGACTAGTGACAGCTCAGTGTTTCTTTTGAGCAGTCTCCCATGCTGCAGAGCGAACACACACACAGCGAGGTGGCTTAGAGACAGAAGTGTGAAAGGCTGGGCTGAAATAAGGAAACCCCATTAGCAAGCAAGGCTATGCTGCAGCTGCACAAGGCTGCAGGCCAATGATGAACTGCAACCTGAGTAAACACCCACACAATCTCACACACACACACACACGCACGATAATGCAGTTGTCCAGGGCTTGTATTGTGAACGATGTACAGAAAATTGGAAGAAATATTCCTGTTTCCAGGCGCGAGTCTCCATTATGCTAACACAAGTGGCTGTGCAGACTGTGTACATAGCATTCAGTACATAATAAACCACTTATTTACAGGTAATTCATGACAGAAACACTGCAGAGTCCAACAAACCATAGGAATGTTCAGTTTAGTTTGAATACTTGATGGAAATCTTTCAAAGCGATATGCTAAAAGCAGGTACCTTACCGAATCGCTCATTCCTGATGGATGACATAGTATGAGCTAACTCCTTCTGCCGCACGCACGCTCCTACACACACACGCACTGGGGGGTGGTGAACACAGCCAAGGCAAAGGCCTGTTTGATTCCCAACCTTTTTTTCCCCCTCATATTCCCTTTCCCTTCATTACCCGCTTCCCAAACCACCTCACTCTCCCTCTCAGTGTGGCCTGTGAGTCTGCTCCTTCGGGAAGTTTCACTTCACTCTCTCTCTGCTCCTACTGCTCTAATGTCCTGTGTTTTCCCCCACTTTCTGTTCTGTTCCTTCTCACCTGTACCCGCATGTCTGTCCTCTGTACTCTCTGTCAGAAGATGAGTTAGAGGGGGGAGCGGGCTCTCAAACAGGGACTCCAGTTCGTCACCTTTCCATGTCACCCACACTCTCTCCACTAAAGCGCTTCATTCCTCATTCCTCTCTTCATATGGGACACGCATGTCCTTCTGCTCTCGTCTGCCTGTCCCTTCCAGTCCGCCTTCCAGTCCTCTCCCCCCTTTGTCCTTCACAGGCTGCTGTGTGGCCTTCATCTGAAGGTCTACTTCGGGCCAGGCCTTGAGGAGTGGCCCTGACAGGCAGCTGAGCTCACAGAAACACACACAAACAACATGTCTCCACACACACACACACACACACACACACACACACACACACACAGTGTGCATCGCTCACACTGGCTGCAGTTCAACTCATAACATATGTTTACCCTCGTAGTGTAATAACCTCCAGAGAAAGGAGTTGGTGCAATTAACTCCCTCTCACTTTCTGTCTGTCAAACACGCACACACACAAAAGTGCACGTACATGCTGACAGTCCTTTCAAACTGATGAAACAGTGAAACTTGTTTAATATATTAAAATATGATACTTTAATGTAATTGCCATATATCATAAAGGCACAGGTATACTATGTATTTATATAACCAGTCAAAAGAACTGAGAAAGTGTATCCAAACGTCTGACTGGCACTGTATATATAGTGCACATGTACAAGTGCATCCGTGGGGTGAATCTGTGCTAAATCCCAGGCAATCAAACGGAGCATGCGTGTGCATGTATGTAGCGTGGGTACATGACATTCAATGTCCACAAGCACCACCATGACCTTGTGACGTACAAACTACCCTGCTAAAATTCAAACATAAAAATGTTTATTAAATAATTGTATTTAATAAACTTGTATTTGTATTTTTACTGCTTAGAATTATATATACAATATGTAAGTTATTCCAATTGTTCAGACATTACGATGACAAGTATAGCCGTTACGCATAATCAAATACAAAGAAATGGTAGAATAAGCAGTGCTTTTTTGGATGGATTTTATGTACAAATAATCTACCGATTGGTGAGTCAGAAACTATTTCGGGCTTAATATTGAAAGTGTGGTTGAATGAATGCAGACTACAAGCCATTTGCCTTCATATTCAGTAGTGTGTGTTTTCATTGTTGCTGACTGGCAAAGCGTGTGTGCGCGCGCCTGATTGAGAGAGAGAGTTGCAGTAGTGATATGTCATCCTGATTGGAAATTTCATGATATCGACCATGCGTGTGGGTGTGTGTGTGCGTGCGCGCGCCGCACATGTGCGCAACATTTACTGTTTTGACGTCAAGTAATCTGGCTTTCATAACTCAGTGCCCACCCTCTTACTGTCATCACCGCACGTCACTGGACCCGTCTAATACATAGAGAGAGTGGATGGAGGGCGGGGAGCAGAGCGCATTAGGTAAAAAGACATTTACCTTCCCTTTAGACTCGCTGTACGAGTGTGAAACATGTTGAAATGTTGACCATATAAAAGGACCAGGGAGAGATGTTTGGATGGGGTACCTGCTGCTGCCTGCCACTCCCTCTGTGAGGTTGGTGCAGCAGCCACGTGCAGAAAACCGGGTCCACGTTGACAGCAATGCCCTGGACACTGAGCAGCAGGACCGCACCTGGATTAAAAGCAAAGACAAATTGATTAAATAATGCACGAAGACGATCGAAAGCCATCATGAATGGGCCGTATGTTTTTTAAAAATAAAAGATTCAAAGACTAACAGGGTAGAAAGTGCAAAATCCCCCGACCTAACAACCCAGCTGATTCAATACGATCCAGAGAAAAAGAAGTGGATTTGCCGCTGCGCTTATTTAAGTAAGAGGCACATCTGTATGGATCACTGAAATAAATGTCAGGTTCCGTCAGAGGGCAGAGCTGCTCAGTTCGTGATATACTTCCTCTGTCCCCTCACCCAGCGTCCCGTTGACCTACGGGTGGGTATCCTCGGCTGGTTGGAGACCAGTTTGCTTCAATTAAAGCGTTCAAAGTGCTATAAGCCAAGAATAACATTTTCTTTTGATGAAATTTCTATGGAACTGGAGATCATTCTCTGGGTTTTGGTTTACTCTTCAAAAATAATCTGCAGCAACAATAAGCGGGGCCCTGAGGTAATACATTAGGATCCTATCAATAATGACTCCCATGCCGGCGGGATTAGCGCTGGGGTCTCTGGCGTGCCGTGGAATGTCCCAGCATGACGAGAGGAGGATGTTTCAGCTCTAGCAGGACTTTCGCCAGTTTAATGGAGCTTTGGACAAAACCCGGTCTTCTGTTTCAAGCCCCGGGGCAAAGCTAGGAGTGTTTAAGTGTCAACGTGAAAGTGTGTGTGTGTGTGTGTGTGTGTGTGTACGTGTGCATTTCGCCTTCCAACAAAGCCTGATTGCTTGAAGTCTCCAAAGCATGGACAAAGCACAATTATAAACTCTCCCTTAACGCACACATTTTTGTGAGCTCTCCAGCTTGGCAGGAGCTGCTCCCTCCGCCATTATTCCCTGTGAACAATGCAAATAAAACTGCTCCAATTTGCTCCACTTTTACAACGTTCAGTGATTTGTGGCCTGTGAGCCTGTGTGTGTGTGTGTGTGTGGTGGGGAGGGGGGTCAGTACTCTAAAATGTGTGTGTTTTTGTGTGTATAATGTCCAAAGTCTGTGCTGTGTGTTCACATGCATGATGTAATTTTCTGTAGCGCATGCATGCATCAGTACTAGTGTTTGTGTGTGTGTGCGATCATTATTTACCAGGTGCACCGGTATACTCAACTCTAATAAGTTACTGGCACAGAACCCTTTCTCAGGGGGAACTTTTCTCATTGGATCAAGTCAAACTGGCGGACGTTTCTTCCTCTATCGTTTCATCTATCGTCGTGATTTTTTTTTTTACTTCCCTTCCATCTTCCTTCACTATTTCTCCATCTCTGGCTCCCTAACAGCGGCCCCTCTGGCAGTTGTCCCTCCTTCAAATCCATTCTGAAACACCTCCTGTACCATTACAGCTTAACCCCATCCTTGCTCCCCCCTCCCTCACCCCTCTTTTTCCTTCCTTTTGAGACCATACCTCCACTCTGCCTCGTCATCCTGCAGCCACCTCTCTCCACCCGCCCCCATCATCCTGATGAGGAATCACAACCTCAGCCCTGTGGTTTGAACTCCTACACCACAGTGTGGCTGCTTAATAGGCTTTGGCTGTGGCTGCAGCGCCGGGGCCCCTGGCTTCAAGTGGTTTTCATAATGGTCCGGAACAGCTTGAGCGGTACGGGACCCAAAAGGGCCGGGACGGGGCTGAGTGCTGAAGATGTATTCGATAAATCGGCTGACTCAAAACTGTGGTTGATGGGACTGCACTGAGCACAACAACTCACGTTCAGCAGAAATGAGTCATGGCACAGTAAATCACATGGCTAAGTAGATGGATCACTCATCAAACAGTGAGTACAGAGATAAATTAGCAAAAAAAAGTATATAAAATGCCTAATTGACAGTAAGTTTCCCATCCAGAGCAGACTGCACAGTATTGTCATGGGCTCCAGCCAATGCAGACTCACTGAGCTGCTAAATGTTCTGAGTGGGGGCGGTGCTTGGCAGAGCAGATACAACCTCCACAATGCCTGCGTTGTCTCGTCATCAGCTGAACGGAGTCTGAGTGCATAGTAAGCCGGTTGCTTGAATTACCAGCTGAAGAAAACTGACGTGACATCAGCAGCGATGACATGCTAAGTGTCATCTTACCATGGCTGTCTGTTTGGCTTCCTAACGCCACTCAGAAAGCCCTCTCTTTCTGAAATCAACAAATTTACTTTTTTTGTATAGCTTCCTCTCTCCCTCTCTGTGTGTGTTGGGCAGTGGCACAGAAACAAAATATGTGTTGACCTGACTTACGAGGCTTTGAAGTCCATCGCCTATGTTGACACAACAGCCACAGAGTGACACATCGATTGAAGCCTTCAGCAACTAGGCGTGACCTCGACAGCAGGCTAGATGTATGTTTGCTGTGCTCCAGTCAGGTGGCATGAGGGTCATTACAGGAATTCATGACAAACGATAACACAAGTGTTTTTCTTGCTTCCTAAATGATTCCCCAAGAAAACACCAGAAAACTGCTCTGAGGTCTGAAAAGTACACACCAGCATCTGTAAAGACACACTCACCTTGATTCACCCACAGCGGACCCATTAACGCTGTTGTTTTTTTCTTCCGAGGACCAATAGAGAGAGCAGGCGGCTGTTGGCCTCACGGCCTGAGGCTACAGACTCCTCTCAGTAGAGCAGACCTCTGACCTCTTGGGCCCGCCTAGGTCTCCTCCTTTCCCCCATAATCCATCAGCCACACGTCTCTCTGCCCTCATATTGTCTTTTTTTATCATGTAAAGTTATTTATACATCTCTTTGAATGCTAAAAATCAGCTTTTGTTTAGTTGCTGTGAACATGACATTTGATAAAGGGGGAGCGGTTGGGTCAGTGTGAGTTCAAACAACCAGTGGAGCCTAGAGCCCTGATTGGGGGCACCACCTTCCAACTACATGGGTCAGAGTTACATGGCAGCAACGAGAAGCGGAGCGAGGCCCTCCCCCAAGTACACGGAAGGGAGGATGAATTCATGTTTGAGCTAGCTACCCCCCCCCTCAGAATCGCTTCATTATTGGACGCGAGGCAGCGCTGGGACCCGGCGTCCAGCTCCTCCAACTGAAAATAAATAAATAAAGCCCGGCCCGCATCAACCAGATGACTTCTGACAGGTTTGGTTAATTTTGAAGCCAAGTAGCAAAACAAAACATTACGCCAGCGCGCGGGGCCTGCGCTGCCTTTAATTGCTTTTCCGATGAGCTCATGACTCAAAGGTGTCCTGGAGCTAGCCACACGGCCCGACAGGTGTTCTGCTGGTGTGTGTGTGTGTGTGTGTGTGAGTGTCGATGACTCTGAGACTGTGTGTCTGTGAGAGCTGGAGCTGTTGACACCGCTAAAAAAAAGGGGCTCAGCGGTGTGTGGGTGAGTGCGGACATGCGCACGCTGCTGTTCCCAATGCCGCGCTGTGACCCGGCGGGACAGGGGGCAATGCCGCCGCAGGAGCCCAGGGGCTCAGGAAGGACACGGGCAGGATTTGACTGGAAACATATCCCGGCCCTACGGAAAGCCTGCTCTCACTCAAGGGCTCAGCACTGAATACCGGTAATGTGCGCCTGTGCATGTGTGGCTTTTAAGAGAAGCTAAGCTTGCGTAAGTGTGTGTGTCTTTTAAATGTGGCCCAACTGCGGTAGCCTGCAGCTGACAGGCTGGCCTCACCTCGTAAAAGGTGACTACTGCTGTGAGTACTGCAACGGTAATAAGCAAGGAGAAAGCTACAGAGGGATTCAGCCCGGGAAAAGGCAAACAAAGGGAGAGATGGAGGGATAGAAGCAGAGATACACCTACAAACACAGAATCAAGGACACGGTAGACGGAGATACAGAACATTGACACAGAAAATGTATCAAACCGTGGATGATGAGAAAGTTGGTGTGTAAAATTAATTTTCCTAATCTACATGAAAAGTGACTTTGGTTGTGCGTCCGTGTGATTGACGGGATGTCTGTGGTAAGCTTGAATACATTTAAAGTCCTGTGAAATGGATCCATCACACAAAGCCAAGTCTGGATACGCAGCAGAAGCATGCAAGTGTGTGTGTCTATATTACATGCGTGTTGAAAGATCCATGTACACACACATGCATCCACTACGTCATTCAAGATCTCTGCATGAGCACGCATGTCAACACATGTTCACAGATGATTATGTATGGAGCACTGGAGCACATAGAGACACCCGTCCCCATGTGTCATGTGTCGGGAACAAGCCTCCTTCCTTCCCATCTGCCTGAATTTCCATGACTCACAGGTGCTGTTTAAGTCCAGACAAAAGCACTGACCTCTGTGCAGCGCTGTTGTTTGGATAGCTTTTTTGGTTCACACTTCCACAGTAGCTACTTCCCTGTGTACGTATGGGTAATGTGTGCACATTGTTATTTGAACATAGACCTTATAGACCCTGTATAAAAGCAGTAACATGAAACCTGTGTTCACCCTGAGTCCTTTCCTCATCCTTCAGCACTGTCCAAAGAAAATGGTTATCTATATTTTTTTGGGGCCCGTCCATTTCTCTCTCAAAGTCTTCCCCCAAAACTTGTTTATTTTTTTTTTCTATCTAGAGCATCCAATCCAGCTTTTTTTGGACTCGTCTCAAGACTTTTAGCCATGAACTTCTGCGATACTCCCCTCAGTCTCTGTCCTTTCCCTTTCCCCTGTAGCCGAGGCAGGTTGACATCAAATGCATCAGTTCAGGTGCGGCAGCTCGGGAAAGCCACAGACAACACAACTCTGGTATGCTGAAAAGCACACAGAAGGCTCAGCCAGCAGCCATCTGCCTGCTCCAGCTTTAAATGACATAAAATTGAACTCACACTAAATACCTGACCATGTTAGAATGACCGAGTGCACATCGCTGGTATGTACTGTACACCAGAAGTGAGTTGGAAGCAGCAGCTCTGTTGAGCTCACAATGTGGACAGGGGGGTTCAGCAGCCAAACTGGCGTTCTTGTTGATTCATGGGCTCCATAAATCCATATCACCTCTCCTGGTGTTGAA